GCACATTTTGACATGCTACATAGCGCTTCTTCTGGCATTTTACCACAGGGACTTTGTAGTTGCTACATTGGGCAGTACCCAATCAAAAGCGGTCTTTGATGTGACATTGCTTTTCCTGTTTCCTGCTTCTGTGGAAAGTGCTCCTAGAGTTGTATTAGCTAGCTCTGCACTGTGAATATGATCTGAGCAGGAGCCTGGCAGGAGCTGGAAAGGGTAGATTACGATCGAGCTCCCTCCCACTGCATCACACCAGGCTGGATGCCCCCGACATAGGGAGGGTGCTTTTCTGAGAGGTACCCCTGTAAAAGAACCCATGGCGATGAAGACAAGGGCCTCTTCCACCGAACCCTGGCTCGGTGGTTGTAGGGGTCTGCGGGCAGGGGGCCTATTTGCATCTGGGTGCCCCCTTTGCTAAAAGGCGGGTGATGAACCCCCCTGCCTGCAGACCACCGAGCCACGGTTATGGGGAAAACACTTTCTGTTTTATCATACATGCATTATTATACATGCAGCACATGTTGACCTTTTGATTCTTTGTTGGGGCTGCTAAAACTGTCCCAGTCATCAGGCCACATCTGTTTGCAAATCCTGTGCCAAGCTTTAGTCCTTCTTCCATGGTGCTTGTGCTGTGGGTGATGGGTGTCATATATACAGCTTTCTTCCCTCACCAGACGAATGAAAGTCTCGCTCTCAAATGACAGGAAAGTGCTGTCCTCCATGGCTACAATGCATGTGACAGCAAGGGGACAGCTTTGTCACTTTAAACCTTTGACAGCTGACTCTTCACCCACATCACTGGCTTGGCCTCCTGTGACAGCTGACAGATGTCTCCTTCCCGTCCCGCTCAGCCTCCTGAAGGTTTCTCTTTTCCCCGCTGGGCGCTGTTTTCTGTCAGAGGGGAGGAGAGCTCTGCCTCCTGTGACAGTGCTGACAACGCTCTCCTCCCCGCCCCGCTCAGCCTCCTGCAGTTTCCTCTTCTCCCTGCTGGGTGCTGCTCTGTGTACGAGAGTACACAGAGCAGCGCCCAGCGAGGAGGAGAGAAACAAGGGATGCACCGCATTTTCTGACAAAATTTTTTGCCACTGCATGTTAGTTTTTGGGTCTCATGGTAGTAACCTTTCAGGTGATTCCTTGCACAACATGACACGATGTCTGCCTACAATTTAGCTGGACTTACAACTGTACAACCCACTATAAAAGCATTCATAGCATGTTGAACATATGTGTCTAAACCACGGCTACAATAAAAAGGTGATGTTGTCCGATTTTAGAAAAAATTATTTTAATATTTAAACAAGGGAAAGCAAATTTATGGCTTTAAAGAAAATATTTTGAAATCTGTCTTAATAGCAAATTAAGCAGCTCTGACGAAAAAGGCTAAAACATATGATATACTGTACTTAAAGTTCCAAAGTTTAATTTTATCATAAAAGTGATGAAAGTATACACAAAGCCCCGTATAATTATTTTAACTATGTACTCCAAAGAGCATTAATGGCCAGTTCATGGCCTCTATGTGATTAAACAAAGAGTTGCATTAATGTTAAATAAACAAAGTTTGACTAAGCAATTTATCACCCCCTGTTGCCGTGTTAGAGTTCACAGGTTCAAATCCTAGTAAAGTCAATTAAGCATTTATAAAAAGGTCATTCAAATAAATAGCAGCTGTAAATGTGCATTATAAAAGCAGACAGACGCTGAAGACAACATAATTGACTGAGATTAAGAGTGTTCTACCAAGGATTTATATGGACTGGGGCTTTTCCAACCATCATCTCATGTCATAATTTTGTTAAATTATTCTGGGTCTTTGGGGAGCCTATACAATGGAAAATAAACATTTACATTTATAGAATTTAAAGGATCAGTATACCGCAAAACAAAAAAATGACATCACATTCCATTATGTGACATTGAAGAAAATGATCTGTTAATAATATTCATAACTACGATGCAAACATACAATATGTTCAATGGTCTGCAGGCTGCTGCTGGACAAAAGAATCACAGCTCAGCTGCCAGTTGATGGGGTTACTGGAAAGGAAGTTAGATATATTCTGGAAATTATCACTCCTTACACAGCAATCTTACAACTCCTGCTATGAAAATGTCATGAAATGTTTACATATTAACCAAAATAAGGTATGATAACCACTCTTGCATACACCAGTTTTTGAAAACCAGATCATTTATGCACTGTAACATGAATCCTTTAAATAAGTCAAGCTTCATGGGAAAGTTTTACTACATAATGTTAATAAAAACAATAAGGATTTAAACAAATACAATATTCACATTGTTTATCATATGCTGATTCCATACAAAAAGGCACAGAGAATGAATGTTGAAAACTATCATTTAACTGTAGTTTTGAGGTCAGATAACCAAACAATAACATGAAAACAAGAGAATGGGTACATATCCAACAATATTCAGATATAAATAGGATAGCATAAGATTATTAATCTTCAATCGTCTTAACCCATTAACCAGATTCTAAAACTAGTGTTTTACTATAGTATGAAGACTTTTTCGCAATTTGTAATAAACAATAGTAGCACATAAAGAACTATAAAATTGGAAAATGCATGATGACAGAATGTTATAACAAGTGGGGACTATAAGGGCAAACACTGGTGCCATCTACCTAGGGAATGTGGAAAGAACAAGGTGACTGCTTGCTAAGCCATGGCGATCACATTTATTTTTAAATTTAGATAATGTTGCTTTCAAAATACATAATGTGCACTCAATTTGATAGTTCCACCAGTCTGAGGAGATATAAGGGGATATGCTAACAATTTCACTAAACCCCCTAAAGCAGTTTTCCTCTGGGTTTCTGAATACCATCCATATAAGTGGGGAAATGGTACCAGGGATATAATACTTTATAAAACTACTACAGTGAAATCTTAGCCCTCTGTTCAAAGGTATTATCCAAGTTCTCTTGTTCTACGTCTGTGTATGTTTTTACTGCCATGGCAACATAGCATAGCAGAGAGAGAGAGAGAGAGAGAAAGAGAGAGAGGAAGAGAGAGAGAGAAAGAGAGAAAGAGAGAGAATATCTGGGAAGGTGTTTTATGAATCAGTAGCTTTTTAACAAGTTTTAAGAAAGTGGCACACCCTACACAAGTAGATTTCTGATGCATCTACTTGCAATACATCTCAGTGGAAGCATTTCGGACTTTAACTGTCCTAGGCTCCGCCAAGGGCAAATATTCTAATTGTGCCACTGCAAAGGGCCCATCTGAGTAGTATTGGAAGAGCAATGAGGAGGCCAAACTATAAAAAACAAAGGGGTCCATGGTAGCAAAACAAGACTTGAAGAACATTTTGTTTTCCAGGTTGAACCATGGCAGGTCTGCAAGCTCTGGGGACATTACAGGAAGAGAAACAGCCAACAGGCATATATCACAGAAAACACTGTTGGGACAGATAGATATTCAAAGGGAGAGAAGTATTAGGAAGAGGTGAGCTGGACAACTTTTGCTTATGTATCATTTGCGCGTGCAACATAGTACTTGTGTGGGATCCTGGTAGAAATGGTAATTCTCCTAAAATCTCAAGGGTCAGGCAATGGTCGTATGTGCTTAATTGGTACACACACATCTTTGAACAGTTGTAAACTGTATAGAAAGCTAACTATTCCTAATACAGCTCCCTTTTTTGTTGTTAAAATGGGGAAACAAACTTGGCGCCCACATCTAGGAAACTGTAAATCCAGGCAACAAGTGAAACCAATCAGTGAGCTACTGATGGTATTTAGCAAACCCTGCAATCAAGAGAAAATCTCACAGAGCCACAGCTTCCTATATCTACAAACACATTCAAATCTACAAACACATTCAAACAAGGTAGGTTTGACTCTGATAAGTGGCTGCAAGGAACATAAAGTGGTATTAAATTGTTAACCTTTTTTTCAATAATGAATCCAGATCAAACAAATACGCATTGCCCAGCAAAGTATGTCTTTAATTTTTGCCCAAGCACTTTAGTCATCACTATTCTGAAGAGCTGGCTCAAAATCTTCTAGCTCCACTTCCCTGAACGTCCTGTCCAGTACAAGATTACAAGGGATAGAGCAGTCCGAAGCAGCTGTACATCTACTAGCTTGGAGAAGGGAGCAAGGTAGAAAAAGGAGCAGGGAGTAGCGGAGCGGCTTGCCTTGCTGTGTCTATGAGTTTGTGGAGACACACAAAGATTACTAGCACACACAAGGGTGGCTCCACCCTGCAAATAAAAGCAGACATCCTGAAACAGGATATCAGGGCTGTGCTGAGGAGACCAGTTGATTTTGCAGGAAGCTAAAACTTTTAAACATCAAGAAGCAGCATCCTATATAAGTAATTTAACCAGCAATTGCAATAGCTTAAAAACCTTTTGACTTTAATATCACATTAACTTTCAATACTGAAATATTTAGGCTTTCTGTATATGAAATGAAATCCGCAGTGGGTTTGTTTGGGACTGCCGCTTCTGTGTCAAAATCAGGGGTTTCTCTGATTACAAAATGACCAACAAAAGGGACTAGAGTATACTGGTGCGCTATACCAATGCTTGGATAAAAAAATAAATACTGGGCTACCTTTAAAGCAATCTTGTGATTTGTCCATACCCCCTCACTTCCCCAGCAACAAACGCTCATATTTCCTTTGCTATTCCACTGCTCCAGCTCAGCTGCCAGGAAAATACCTGGTACCTCTGGGTATAAAGTAGCAGTAAGCCAATTACCAGCATTGTCACTTGGGAAGACTCCATTGCATCATGTAAGCTATATATTAAGCAACTTCTAGATTACACAGTGGCAATGGGAAAGAAAATAAACAAGTGAGCATGTTCTGCTGGGGAGGGTGAATTAAACTGAACCTGCTACTTTGCCTCACATAGCAAAGAATAGATTTATATTGAGCATAAAATGGGTGGTGGAGAATGAACTTTACAAACACACTCAATTTACACACTGTCATTTATTCTCAAAGGTCAATTTAAAAATGGCTCACCTGTCCCTCGGCAACAGTTTCTGTGTCAATAATAGTGATAACCCCAGGGACAAGAGGACTACGTCTTGAATTGCTATGCGATGACAAGTCTTCATCTGAAGAACCAGCAGGCAGTGTACCAGTAAGTTGGGTAACAACCTTCCCAACCATTGTAAGTCCAGTCTTCAGAGTCTGTGAAAGAGGGATCATTAGGTGAATAAGAGAAAGCCATAACTCCAGCATTTACAATTGTTTACTTCATATAAATAATACACTTCCAAGACAGTTCAGTTTTATCTCTTCTCTTTTCGCTTCTATCAATTTACTTTTTTTCTCTTTATATTTCTTAGAAACACCATAGCAAAGAATGTAAAAACAAAAAGCTGAACTCCAAGCACCAGTAAGACACCAATTAAAAAGGACCTAACTGTAGAAGCTTTGACCAAAAAGGCAAGCAGGAGGAAAAGAAATGGCCATTGGTATTAACAATACCATAATATTGGTATTACCAGTATTACTTGTGGTCTTCCTGCAGCTAATTATTTAACCCATTACTAACCCAGAGATATTATATATCAGTCAGGCAGAGTTCTGAAAGATCTTTGCCCCAGAGACTTATGTACACTCAGTCTTGTATTTTCCAGGTAAGTACATGTATGTGAAAGTCAAATATTTCTATTGCTAATTTTGGTAATGACATCTGTAAATAATCAGACAAAAAGTCCAGCTCAGACATAGCCAAAGGATGTGCTCTGATCTGCACTATTAGCATGCCACATTCACCAGTATCAGACATTAGGCATTTACCATATATGGTCACTTGAAGATCAAAGTCATTGTACAATATTAATTAAAGATCAATGTGAATTTTATTATAAACAATTGCTATATTAAGCAGTTCTGAAATAGTTAACCCTAAAAGGCACAATTTTAAGGTGGAAAGAATAAAACACTATTCGACATTGATAAATTAGTTAAAAAATAATGTATGTTTTTGCCAAATAACAAAATAAATAGAAGCATGGATATGTTATTCTAATCTCACATATATAAAGCCATTCTAATGATTATGATGACAAGTGAATCTCAAAATTTATTTAGAGAAACCTAGTTCAAACTGGTAAATCTGGGTGCTAAATGTAGGTTAGTGCAGCATTTTTGCAGTCGTGTAAGCATTTCACTGCATATCATACTTGTACGATTGTGTATGTGACAAATAAATCTATCTATCTATCTATCTATCTATCTATCTATCTATCTATCTATCTATCTATCTATCTATCTATCTATCTATCTA